GCGCTGCTGTTTTTGGTCGACGGTCAGCAAACGCGGCACCCATCGCGCCGATAGCTTTTTCATCTCCAAAAGATCGTGCAAAATGTATCCCGTTCTTTTGAGATGCCCACGGCCTCAGCTAACTCGCGCAACTTCACTTTACGATCACTCAAAACGATTCGATTCGAAACACTTGCTTTACGATTTCCGCATTCGTAGCCTCTTTTGGCCTTCCAGAGCGAGGTGCGTCTTCGGTACTTGTACGACCATTTTAAATTCACTAAACCACCGATAAACTGTTGTTCTCGAAGGAGTAGATGTGGGATAACATTTCTGCAACCATTGCAATGATTGTTCAGAAGTTTTTCCCATCAAAAAACAATGTTTGATCAAGATGCGATATTCCTGTTTTTCCATTTTTTTTACGAAGGCGAAAGTAGCGTCACTTAAACGATTGCAGCTTGTAAACGAATGGATGAAATGTCATGAAACTTCATACATAAACTAGTGACAGATGAGTCTCTCGAAATGAGTCATGTTCATTTTCTAGTGGCGCCACCTATTGAAAAATCCCGGGACTTTTCAGCCCATGTAGTACGTGACCGAAAATAATAAAAACAGAAAAAAATAAAATGATATAAATATAAATAATAATATTGGGTATGGGAATAAGTTTCCGCCCTTTTTGAAAAGAAAAAGATGTTTATTTAAACAAATCTATATAAGTGAGTTTATTCAAAGTATGCTCCTTCGGAAGCGACAACTTTCTCCCACTTTTCCTGTAATAAACGGATTCCTCGAATGAAAAAATCTGGTTCTTTTGAAGCGATCCATTCATCAAGCCATTTTTTGATATCTTCATAAGAATTGAATCGTTCTCCAGAAAGGGCCGACTGCATGGATCGGAACAAATGGAAATCTGAAGGAGCAATGTCCGGTGAATACGGCGGGTGGGGCAGAATTTCCCACTTTACTCCTTCCAAGTATTTCTTGACCGGTTTTGCAACGTGTGGCCTAGCGTTGTCATGTAACAGAATCAGCTTGTTGTGCCTATTGTCCCTTTCCGGTCGTTTTTCTTTCAAAGCTTGGTTTAAACGTGTCAGTTGTAGTCGGTAACGATCGCCAGTGATGGTTCGGACGGTTTGAGCAGCTTATAATATATAACACCTCTCTGATCCCACCAGATGCACAACATAATCTTCGAAGCATGGATATTTCGTTTTGGCGTTGATGGACCTGGTTCACCTGGCATCACCCATGCTTTCAAGCGTTTAGGGTTATCGTAGTAGATTCATTTTTCATCGCCAGTTACGATACGATGTAGAAAACCCTTCCTTTGTTGTTGTTGACGAAGCATCTCGCAGATGACCAAACGTCTTTCCATGTCTCTCTCTTTCAATTTGTATGGCAATTTCCTTCTTTTTGCACCATTCCCATTGCGTGTAGACGCTTTCCAACAGTGGATCTATCAACATTTAACTCTTTTGACAACTTATCGAGCGATAAACATGAATCTTCTTCGAGTAATGCTTGCAATTCTGCATCTTCAAATTTTTTCGGTGCACTTTCGCGTTCTTTGTCACGCACATCAAAATCACCACTGTTGAATCGCCGAAACCATTCTTTACAACTGATTTTCGATGGAGCATGCTTACCGTAAACATCTACGAGCAAACAATGCGATTCTGCAGCACTTTTCTTTAAAATAAAATAATGGAGTAAAACTTCCCGCAAATGTTGCTTTTTTGGAATAAATTCCGACATCTTCAACGCAAAAAAAGTTACTCTTTTTTACGCTTCGAACGAATGCCAACTATTGGGCTCAAAAGTTTGAACACAAACCTTTCAAACACATGTGTTGCCGTTCTATCAAACACACAAGTAATGCTACTAACGACATCTTTCTACAATGGGCGGAAACTTATTCCCATACCCAATATAAATATTATAATATTATTACAATTAGTATAACTCCGTTGTAGCGATCATATCGCACACGATTGTGCCCGAACATGCGAGACGGCTCGAATTGTTTGAATACACACACACTCGCACATGTATTCGAGATAATAGCGGGATTTAAATTTGCTTTTAGGTTTCTCGTGGTAAGATAGCGATTTAAACTTTCTCAGATACTTTGCGATATAGACATTAAACTGTTGCAATCATAATATTCGGAAATGATAGTTGTGTAGGCAGCTAATTATAGTCCAAAATTTGAACAAATCCAACCACTAAAATTAACCGAAAAGCAGAGACAAACGAGATTAACAGAGATGGACGAAAAATATTTAAATGCTATAAGGAGCGCCGCTCAATGCGATTGACTCGCAATCTGTGGATCCGGGTTTGATCCCATCTGCGCCCCGCATATACGCGATTTTTTGCGGTTCACAGTTCGGATTCGGCGTTAAACTGTGTCGAGGTCCCTTCGAGTGTTTACAAACTCTAAAAGTAGAATTCCACTATTGAATCCGAAAACATAAGCGAGCCTCTGCCCCCGAAGAGGCTCTAAAGCTTATTGGTACTATGGCCCCGTATAAGGGGTCGAAAATCCATACAGGAAAATGAAAGAAAGAAAAGAAAAGATGCTAGAAGGATCTCGAAAGAGAAAAGGTTTAGAATAACGTATCTCGAGAAGAGAAGGTCGCGGAGTTGAACGCGAAACATCATCCAGTACAGATGCGTGTAATCGCTTTTCGAATAATAAATTAAGCACACGATAGACTGAACAAAGTCTTGTGTGCTAAATCTTGTTATTATTCTATCACCAAACCTTATCACCAAACCATAAAGGATCAGATTGAAATATCAATTATCAATTTCAAAAGAGTAGAGATTTCATGCTTTCAAATGTTTTTTTTTAATTTTTTGTCTGCGATAATTTTTCACCGAGTTACGTGAAAAATTTGAATATTACGCAATTTTGAGCGTATACGAAAGTGTTCCCTATTTTTTGTTGAGTAGTATATACATATGTATATATACAGTTATAGTATATATATCTTTTTTGTTGAGTAATATATATATATATATATATAATTATAGAATATATACAGTTTCAGAAATCAATCTTTTGTTTAGAACTTTTTCCTCATCTATTATAAGATTTTTATATTATTCCAATCAATTTATTGTCTTTCTGCTATTAAAAATTGATAGCATGCTCTGCTTAAAATGTATCTCCGCAGACTTTGCTATCTGGGTATTGGTGGCGATGGTTTCTAATATTATTGTATAATTAATGTACCTTTTCGAATTTAAATAATGTAATATATTCTATTTCTTAACTTTTTACATTAAGAATTGTTAATATTGACTCTTATATGCCCTTTATAATCTTTGTATTGTTCTCTAATATTATTGATACCCAGGATTGGTTGTTGACTTTAAATATTTAAAGACACATACTAAAATTATACAAAATGTTTGCTGATATTCTATAACAATACACAACGGCTACCGCTATTTCCTATTAAGAGTGCTCATTCGAAAGATAAAGAAAGATCCGCCTAAATAAATTCTGAATCAAATGAGAGGATTTTTAAAAACTTTATAGCGGAAACCACAACACAAAGTCTCCTTAATTCAGAAAAAAATAAGGCTGAAAGAAATTCTAAATGCTAAGTGATATGTAAAAGCAGAGAAGATAAATTAAATCTTATGCGCTAAAAACAACCGCGCATTAGCTCTCGTTAGTCCATTTCAAAATTATTAATTTTTTATTTAAAATATTGAGAGCCCGAAAATCTTTTTAATTCCTTGTTTGTTGATGTATAGTATCTCTCAATTATAAATTTGAAATTGCTTTTTTTAAAAAAAATGAAGAGCTTTCTAAAACTCCAATAGTCTCTTCAATCCATATTTTTGAAAAGTATTGTGTGTGTGCGTAGAAAGAGAGAGAATATAAAAAATTAAAATGTTTTTATATAAAAAATTAGAGAAATCTATTAAATTCATAATTCCCAAATAGTGCATATGTTGCGTGCGTATATATGGCCCGATTTCACAATATATGGAAATGTTAAAGGTAACCAAGAAATTTATGAATGAATTTCATTGGTAACCTTTAATCTTTAGGTAACCATATATTGTGAAAATGGGCCTTAGTATATAAAAAATGATTGAATAAGCAATGATTAAGAATAAATGATAGCAGCAGATTTTTCAGAAGAAAAAAAGTCTGTGATAAAAATATAATTCTTGATTAATTAGGAGGACATCTGAATAAAATCTTAATTTAAACATTTTTTCTCTCAAAAAATTGTTCCTGACCTTTTGTTTGGGCCGGGAACAAAAATGATGGAGCTTTTATGTTCACTGGCTGCACAGCATTTTCCTTGTGAATTCTTACGAACTTCCGCACTTTTCTTATAATTAAACGATAAAATCAAGATATGTCAATGTCAGTACGGTTGATACTTTCTGTTTTGTAATTAAGTCCTACAAATTTATTCCAACATAAACCAAAGATAGAAGTAATAATTAATAAACTATCTATTGAGTTATATAAACTATGTAGTTTTTTCAGTTACATAGGAAGAATTTGAGCGGAGTAAAATCATTATAATTTGCAATGACTGTAAAAGTTAAAATAAGAATAAGTAACAAATTAAAACCTTTTTCTTATATAATACTGAAACAATTCGTCAATTACTGTTTTTGAAGTTATGACATGAGAAAGACAATTTCTAAGTTTTGTACTCTCAAAATTAATTTTGTTCACTTATTTTTGTGCATATATTAGGATATCATATAATTTTGTGTGTGTGTGTGTGTGTGTGTGTGTGTGTGTGTGTGTGTGTGTGTGTGTGTGT